CTTTCCGTTGTAATAGCAAAAGCACAGACGCAATCTCGCAATCCTTCAGAAGTTCCTCACCATAACCAAATCTAAAAGTTGAAAATATTTCCATTTATTTGAAATTTTCAGAAAATGACTGATTTTAATAGGCTGCTGAATAACAATTCAGCAAAAGATTTTTTTAAATTACTGGAAGTTCAGACTTCAAAATTTGTTGAATTATCATTATTTTAGAAAAAAAAAGATACGAAAAAGCATTTCACTTTGCATCATCCGTATTCTTCATGTGAACTGCCCATAAATCATCAACAGTTGCAAGTGCGTCTGCATACATCTCCAATTCAATCTGACAGGCTGCCAATTTCTGTAGAGCTGCTAAGTGGCTACGAAATTCCGTTTTCAAAAATTCGGCCCCTTAAAAATAAATATGAATAAGTAGACATAAAGTAAAAATATTGGCAGGTAGATAAAATAATTTGAAAATGATTGTTCAACAAATAATCAAATGTACTTTACTATTTTAGTAATGGCTAAAAACCCTATTACTGATCGTAATACAGATATAGTAAAACAATAATGACAACAATTACTTCTCATATACTTTCAAATATAAAATGAGACTTTCAAAACTTTCGAATGCAATGAAGCATACAAGACCTCGTAACAAAAATGGTAACGCCAGCTGATATTCATCAATATTGCACAGTGTGGAGCCTAGCTCAGTGCAATGCAAACCGGCCAGCCAAAATCCCTGATGATCGAGAATTAATTCAATTGCTCGATTGTAACAATCTTGCATATAATTCAGATGATCGGAACAAGCTGCAATAACATAAGATAATAATAATTACAATCTATAAGTGACTAAAAAATTGCAATGGACTGACTAAATTAAATTAGTTATTTGAACATTAAATCACTTAATTTGGTCAATATATGGGATCAAACAATTATCGTTTATCTTCGAATACAGTCCTTCTATGACAATTAAATGTTTTTTTTGTTATATCAAGCTATCAAGCCAATATAATGCAAATCCTTGACAATAATAATTCACCTTTTAACAACACTTCTATTCATTTTCTTCAAAAGACTCAAAAAAACGATAAAAAATTAGTTTAGGAATTTTTAAAACCCGGCCATTACCGTAACAAGTAATAAAACGTACAGCTTCCTATTAGAGTACTGTAAAAATAAGCAACGAAAAAAGTACCAAATATGTTCATTTCATAATTTCGCATTTCTGCATTTTTGAAGCACCGAGCAGCCTTTAGGTAATGACTATATTGCATGCTCCAGTCACCCATTTTTTCATTAATTTTTGCCATTTGTATATAACACATGCCCGCATAATGTTCACACTCTTCATCTCTAAAATTATTTCTAAAAATAAAACAGCAAAAATTGTATGACAGTTGAGTGAGACCACTGTTGCAAAGTTTTCATTATTATTTCTCAAAATCACCACTTTCCCTCGTTCTTCCTTCCTGTTTTCCTCTTTTCCTTAATTACCTTATACAGGAATATATTCAAATAAATCACTCAACCGATGGCCGTAAGCAGGAAAGAAAACAAGTGTTCTACTTATTTCGCAACAAAATGCAAAGAACCCCATTTCCTGCACCCACAATCTCGAAACAAGATTTCACGGAGCGTGAAGTTAAGCTAGTGATTAACACATTGCAATGACCCTGTAAAGGATTAAAAATCAAACTGAAAACGTAGTGCGAGGTTAGCAAGCTCCGCCAAAACTTGTTGGTTATTTGGTTTTTTCAAAAATTTCTTTTTTAATGAATCCAATGCTGATTTGTATTCTTTCCATGGATCCCTGTAAGGTTCAACCATAACATACACCAATCGTCGAATAAAACTGAAAATAGGAAAACGGACACTTTCGCAATCAAGCCGGAAATCCAAATATGTTTAGCACCAAAAATAGAAAATTTCTTTGGAATTTAAAAAATTTGATTCCCCTATCTACAAGAATAATTCCATATCTCGCTATACTGACACCAGAGTGGTCAAAACAGTTAAGGTGCAGTCTACGCAGGCAAAATTATTCCACAGATTTTACGAACTGCTTAACGTGCAAGTGAACCCATTTCCTTGTACCTGCATCCCAAGAGCTTTCAATATCAGATAACAAATTTAGCATTTCTTACAATAACCGCGCAACGCCGTAATCCCTTAATGATTCACACTAAACTTATACAAAATTTCGGATGGAACAACAAGAATTTCTGCAGTAAGACAGAACATCTTTCTCGATTGTTCACTAAAAACACTTCTATGGAAAGAAAATATATACAGGGAATGACTCTTTTGTGTTGACAAATCAACAGCGCGAGATAGTACTTTATTGATGTTTGTGCATATATAAACACACATTATGCAAAATATATAATTTAGTCAGAAAACAAACAATCGGTTGAATCAATGCCTAATTGAAAAGTGATCCATCATCTCTCTATCAATATCTGTTATCATGGATAATACATCCAAACGCATCGCATCATATCGCAATGTACAGTCGTCCATTTTTTTTTCAGCTCGATCTTCAGCACTAAAAATATATAAACACCCACTTCTTTCATCATGATCTTCAGCACAAACTGATAGTTTGAAAGACAAATATTAATTGAAAATCCTAAAAAAAGTTTTAAACATTTTCCAATTTGAAAATAAAAAGTTTCAATTTTCTTGAAAATTGAAATATTTTAATATATGGAGCACAAAAACATTCCGCACCACTCGTGGTTTTTCCCAACAGTAATTATTCGGTCTTGATTACAAACTCTCTTTCACAGTTAAATATAATGTATGATGCATTTTCTAAAACAATGAAAAGTTTCTCATGTTTTCACTACGATGGACGTCAATTACAGTGAAGTTATCGACAGCAAAAGAAATTCATAACATGAAATACTAGTTTATTTTTTCCTTAAATCTCACGTTGTATCAATTTTTTGCTTCACAAATTAAATAAGATTAGTTAAATCTAGGAAATCAGAATGAATTTTGAATATAAGTAATACAAAAAAGCATACTTCTGAATAGCATAACTCAAAAAATTGAAGTCATGTAAAATTAAGAATTCCTTCAAATCGTGCGTTAATTTCAACAACTCATCCGCAGCTCGTATCTGGAAATCCGTCTTGGAAATTTCAATTATCTCGATGGTTTACTAATTAAAAAATACAATGTTCATTATCTTAATTGCTTGTCATATGATTTGCTTACAACAGTAATAATATTTTACTGATAACAACTAGTAATTAAAAAAATCCGATAAAATTTTTTGTACTTGTGACCAGCAATAAAGCGAATCCCATGGTAATATAGCATCATAATCTATGAAAATATTTGTCTCAATTAAAATTTTCTAAAATAAACTCGCCAACCATCAGAGCAGCCCGTGCAGCAGTTTCGTTCCTCATTGTATAATAATCACTCATTCGACCTATTGGATTTTTGTGCGCTGCATCGTCAATGTTAATCTGCAAGCTGATTTCATCGAGCAGAAAACCAAAAAAAAAATACTGTTACAGAAAAATTATTTTTTGAATTGTAAACTATTTAAGGGACAATGCAATTTCCTGATGATGAAGTTTTATATATTATTCCTCGAAAACAAATGATCCATAACTATGAACTATTCCTCAAATCCTTTGACTTTCCTGATGTTGAAACTCAGAATGAGATATAATTTGTTTAAAAAAAAAATGCACAATTTATCAATGAGTGCAATTTTTGAAAGTGTAAGTGTAAAAGAAAGAATTGGCAAGAAGAATATGATAACCTTTGCAACAGAGATAATATTAACAAAATTATCATTCAATGATTTGATGTTATCCTTCAGTCGTCGTTTATATTCTTGCACAATCAACGCTTTTGTTGCTATATTTCGGCCGCTTTTCCTTACTGTTGCAGCTGATACTTGCGCCATACTTTACTCAATAAAAAAAGTCACCCTAACTTGGAATAAATTTTTAACTTGAAAAATTTAAGTAAGCGAGCGCAAAAATATATGTCTAAGCAAAAATCCATTACTACGAAAATTATACACCAATGTCATCAAATAATCAGACCACAAAATTTTCTACCAAATTTGACCAATACTGAATGCATACATGAATTTGTCATATTTCCAGCCCCTGAACTTTCATGTACCTAATTTCCACGTCACATTTTTATGCATTAATCAAAATAAGTCGTACCCCATTTGAAGAAGTGAAATGATATTTTCTTCTCTCACTAAGAGCTATATGTAAGCAAAAAAGGAAGAGTACTATCCGATACAAAACGATACAACATTCCACGCACAATGCTATACCACACGTACCTCCCCCCACCCCTTCTCTCACTTCTCTCAATCTCCCTCCACATTCTTATTCCATTGTTTACATTTCCTAACGCTACACATCTTCTCCTAAATCTTCCGAAATCTGTACTCTCTATAATTGTGCATAGCTCTCTGTCATCTCGTTACGTTTTAAAAGTGAACCTTCGTTAACACGTGTAATTATTAATCGTAAAGGGTTTCATTGGTGTGTTGTTTTTTCTTTATTAATAACTGTAAACTTATATACCGCAACTGCAAGAATTTAATGCTTTAATAATGACTTTTCCTTTTTGTGATACAATCGTTTTGTATTATTTCTCTGAACCCATTGTCGCAAGCATTTTTCTTCTTTTTGCCATTTGTAACAAGTAATTTTATTTTCCTTGGAGAAGTGATCTGTAAGAAAATGTAAACATTTACATAGAGAAGTGATATGTAAGAAAAATATGAATGTAATAGGAACAAACGATTTAAATCAGTGAAGAAGTAGTTTAGAAAGCAAAGTAATGATAGTAATGTCGAGCACGATATGAAGAAATTTCAACTATTTTTTTCATTTATTTTCCGATCATCCAAAATAAAATTCATCTATTATTCTTTTGTAACCACATCGAATTTCAGACTGGTTCTGATGCAGTCATACTCTGATTGTGAACTTTAAATTAGTTCTATTATAATGAGACCGAATGGATATCGGAAAAAAGTACTGGTCACAAATAAAGACGCACCGAATATTGTCAGTTTGGAGCCATGAAAGAAATTCATGATGTCTATCGATTCTGTACAACATGTCACCAAACTGCAAAGTTATTGTTACTTTTCTACTTTTCTTTGTTACTCAAAATCTCCATATAAATTTTGTATAATTTATTTTTTATATTCTCTTTCATAATTGGCAAATGCAAAATGTAAAATCTCTTGTCTTTGTATATAGAATAGAGTGTAATACACTGAGAATGGTGAAATTAATGTATAGTAGTATTGGGATTAACAACATGTATATAACATTCAGATAGTACATGTGAGCTACTAAGGTAAGCTTCTGTAACAATAAGAGAATCCTGTTAATATTTTGAGTGACGATGTATCATTTCTCTTTATGAAGCATCAAGTTTTCTTTTTTTTTGAGATTTGTTTAAATCTAGGTTTTTTGCTTAAAAAACTGGCCTGAATGAAATGATCAAAATAAAAATAAACTGGAATTATTCCAGAAAGTTTGTCCCGTTTATCGGAAGTCGTTGCACCGTCATATGGCGTTTCAATAGAAACTCCAATACCATTTGCGAATGAGGTTATCCTAAAAACTTCATCAACTTTATTTTAAATGTTTAGAATTCACTTGACGATTTTTGTTTTGTACAAAAAATTTTTTAGTGCAGAGAATTTAAATGATATCTCTGAGCTATGAACAGCTTGACTTTTCTGTCTTGAAACAACTGCAGTTGTTTAAAACTTGTTTCAGTTCGTTCACAATTGACTATGAGTATGTCTTTATCTGTGCAACAACATTATAGGACCAGGTATTCCCGTTCCAATTCAGTATGCTTGGGATTTCTGAGGAAAAAGAAAAACGATTGCGAGAGCTATATGAACGACTAGATATGAATAAAGATGGAATCGTCGACATTGGAGATTTGACAAATGCGCTCAAGCAAAAGGCTCCTCATATACCAAGTGGTGTTATACCTGTAAATTTTCTGCATTTGAACTTATTGTTGTTAAGATTTTTTGTATATTGGAAATTTGAGGCGGCATTCTTACCATTCATTTAAATTAAATAATCGGAGTTCTTTAGTGACACGAATTTACATTTATTTAAATTCTTTGTAAAATTTTATAATCTGAACTTTTAGGAATTGTTTGCTCAAATGGATCATTTAAATGATGACATAATAACATATGCTGAGTTCGTGCAGTATGCTATTGAGCATGAGAAAAAATTAGAAAGCATATTCCGAGATTTAGATAAGAATAAAAGTGGTTAGTTTTTCTTTTTTCTCTCATCTTTCAGTTTTTTAAAAATTTTTTATGATTTAAAAAACCAAAATTATTAGTTCCTTATTTCGTGTCACTTTATTTTTTGCGCATTGTTAATTAGATTTTTTTCATTTTCCAAGCATTCGCCAGAAAAAAGCTTTTTTCAGGTTATGTCGGTGTGCAAGAGATCAAAAAATATTGTGAAGATCTAGGTATTTCAATAACCGAAGCAAAAGCACAAGAAATTGTTGAATGGTAGTTGTTTTTTGATAGGAATGAATTCATCTTTTTTTAAATCATAAAATGAACTTGTTTACTTTCTTTAGAAAAACGTAGCTAAGATGGAAATCTCTTGATATGGTTGTGCAACTAGTTCACCGACTGTAACAGATTTGTACCGAGTGATTCCATGCACTATATATTTACTTTTAAAAGTTAAAAACAAGTCCAGATGCCAATATGTTTTTGGTTCAGGATGGCACGCACAAACTCAGCTTCTGTGAATTTCTCAGAATTCAAAGATTTTATGTTACTTTATCCGCGATCTAAACCCGAAGAAATTGCGAAATTTTGGAAGCATAATCTGGTTAAATTTTGATATGAAGATGAATGAATATTATTAGCTCATTTTTACATTCAGGGAGTCGAAGTTTATCTGCAATTCAAATAAAACAAATTTTTACAATACTAATTTATCGTCTGTTGGTTTATCTCAGTTATGTCTCAGATGATTGATATCGGTGAGGATAGCCAGATCCCAGAAGATTTTTCGCAGCAAGAAATCGCTTCAGGATTTTGGTGGAAGCATTTCGTAGCTGGTGGAATCGCAGGATGTGTGAGTCGAACATGTACAGCACCGTTAGATCGAGTGAAAATTTATCTTCAAGTGAGACTTTTTGCAGTGTTTTTTTGCTTTGTTATGTGTTAAACAGCATTTTGTAGCATATATACATAATTATAACTTCTTGAAACATTTTCTGACTTAGGTCCATGCAACCTTATTCAACCATTTGCGGTTTCCAAAGGCAGCAAAACTTTTGTACGAAGAAGGTGGATTAAAATCTTTTTGGCGAGGAAATGGCGTTAATATTGCTAAAATTGCACCCGAATCAGCTATCAAATTTTTTTCTTATGATCTTGTATGTGCCTTCTCATGTCAAACATTGTAGTAGATTTCATAACAGAAATTCCTGTCTTGCATAACATCATTTCAGGTTAAGCGACTTATCGTTAGGCACAGAGATGAAGATCACAAACTTAAGATTTTTGAGCGATTTGCTGCTGGTTCTGCCGCAGGTGTAGTATCCCAAACAATTGTTTATCCTTTAGAAGTACGCCTTTTGTGTTATTTCTGTTTCTTTTATTCATCATAAATTTTTTCAACTCCTACTTTCTATAATATTTGCACTTGTTTAGCTTCGAATTTCCTATTAGAAATTGACAGTTTTTTAGTATTTTCCAGTTTTCAGGTTCTAAAAACACGCTTAGCACTGCGACGCAGCAATCAGTTAGAAAGTGGTTTGGTCGATCTTGCCGCTAAAATGTATAGAAATGAAGGCTTTCTTTGTTTTTATAAGGTAAAATACTGTATTAAAATTTCTAGCAAATGCAGTTTGTATTGAAGTAAATTTTTCATTTTACAAAAATATTTTTGGTTCAGTCGGTATTGTTAGATTTTTAGGGTATTGTTCCCAATCTTATTGGCATTATTCCTTATGCGGGTATTGATTTGGCGATTTATGAAACGCTTAAAAGTTATTATTTGAATAGTTACAATGCTCATTCTGTTCCTGATATCGTCGCTTTTCCCGTTTGTGGTGCTTGCAGTTCTATTTGTGGTATGCTAGCGAGTTATCCGTTTGCTCTCGTAAGGACACGATTGCAAGCTCAATGTATGCTTTTTTTTATTTATAGAATTAAATTATACTTTTGGTCAATTTTATTTTATTTTGTAATAGTGCAATTTTTTATCAGAGGTTTCTTATTGGCGGAATAATTTAAATGATGTAATGTAATCCTAAATCCTTATATTTTTATTTATTTACCAACGTGAACTTATCAGGATGATACACAACATATTTTAGCGGTGTCAGGTAATTTGACTCAACCAGATACTATGAATGGACAAATACAGTATATATGGAAAAATGATGGACTATATGGCTTTTATCGGGGGCTTACTGCGAATTTGGTGAAAGCTGTGCCTGCAGTAGCCATAAGTTATTATGTTTATGAACATGTACGTACATGGCTGGGTGCTCCAATGATGTGATATGTTGCTATATTTACTTTTATATTTTATTTTTTATATAATTTGTAATCATCTTCTTGTGGAAAACCATTATTTATGTCGTTTCATTATTAATATGTAAAACACATCATGTCATATTTGTATTTTCTTTTTTATAAGACCATTCCTTTACCGTCTCTTTCTTTATCTATAAAAATTTGCTTGCTTATTTTTGACTTTGACTATCTAATCATTCAGCGTGATATACTTTATACTAATGATGAGATCCATACAGCCACCACTGTATCATTTAAACTTTCTGTTAGTCGGATCTTTCTATTAGGCGCAAAGTTTCTCACACAATTCAGCAAAAATTGGAAACTTGAAAATTGTTCTTTTCTACCTAAATTGTCCCCTTTACGGAATAATTTTCATATGGATTTGTAGTATCTATAGTACAGAAAAATTTGTGTTGTATCAAAATTCATAATTGCCGCCGTTATTATTCTCTTATGATATCATATTTTTTTTGGTAGTTTGCTTTAGGGAATTTGGAGATTAGCACTGTACAAAATTATCTGACGATATCTTTTTCAGCATTGGTGATACAATTTTTGCTTTTTTTAGTTTAGTAAAATTTCTGTTGATTAAAATAGATTTCTTGTTTAGAAGTGGATAGAATTTTTCTAATTTAAAATAATTGAAATTAAAAAAATAGACGACATCCCTATTTGATGAAGAGTTTCGTAACCCAAGATAAACAGGTAGTTTTAAAATGCTGTGCAAAGAAGTTGTGTACTCATAACTATAATAAGTGAGGAACGTAGTGTTATTTTTTGCTTGTTTTCATTACTTAGTTCAATTTACTGAAATGACTTACCATCTTTTGAAATACTCAGCGAGATTTGTTCATGTGTTGATTCTCTTGTTTCATCTAAATTGAAAATGCGTTGTTGGAATATTTTTTAATATGATAATTTTCTCGAATTTTGGTTCATCTTTTCTATAAAGATTATTCAAATCATTCCTGTACTTCTTCAAAATCAAGAAAATATTTGTTTCAAGCAGTGCAAAAAACTACTTTGATAGATTCAGATGTGATGTGAAAGATGAAAGTTTCTGTTGAATGTGTAATATTAGACAAATGGAGAAAATAGGATGTGTGTCATTTTGAAAAATTTCAGATGAAAAGCGTACGGGATACAGGTATTATGTTTCCAAGTACATTGAGTAGCGATGAGAAATGTCTGAAGGAAATATTCGAGAAATTGCGGACCATTGTAAGTTTCCATTCATATAGCCGATGTCTTTAAATGAAGACATTTGGTATGTTGATGTTCGCTTGGTTGAGGTGAATTCTTGACATAATTGGATATATTTTACAGGAACGTCGAGGTATGAAAATATATTATTGTTTGAATTAAAATTATTCTTTCGAAATTACTTCAATTAATAAGGATTTGCAGCGAAAGGCGATAGCATCAACAAACAAAATGAATGTTAACACGGCAGTTGGTGACAACCTCAAGATTGAGCGCAAAACGAGCAAAAGACGTGCAAAATTCTTTTTCTCGAACTTTACAAAAAAAATTTTCATTTTTGCTGCTGATTTCGACATCCTTCTGTCGCATTAATAGTGAAAATAAAAAGCGAAAATTTTTGCGTTACAATGTAAAAGTTTTATTTGTTTTATAAATAAGTGAAAATGTTGTTACATTTTTCTACATTTTAGACCTACAACAAGCGGAAGAGGCTACGGAAGAAGTGAGACGCAAAGTTTTGATTGGTGCTGTGAGTTTTAAAAAGGCTGATGAAAAAAAGGATTCATTCAAACGATCAAGCTTAATTGGCAGACGTCGTGTAAGATTTTGGTGACGATTACTTTGAAATTATTCAAATACTACTTGTTCCAGATATGGCTGTTGACGTTACTACTTATTCTTTACTTCACATCCTTTATTATTGAGTTCAGTTTAATCATGTTGTCATCCAAAGTAGGATTCCAGTTTGAAATGGCAGAAATGATCTTAATTTCTATTGCTTCTTGGAAATGTTTATCGATTTCTAGTAATGATGGGTCATTTTCGATTTTTCGTATTGATAACACATGTACGCCTGACTAGTATTTTTGGGATTTGATTTTAAAACTATGTCAAAATATGTTCGAGTATATGACAAATTTTATTTTTCAGGATAGTGACAAAACAAAAACGGACAGTGATACGGTAGGTTGTGTTGAGACACATTTAATGCCCTTATATATGCTTTCTAATATCAAAACATAGCACAGCTACCAGTTCCTATAAATTTGTAGGTACTGAAATATTGACTATTTTACTAGTTGTGTTCCCAATCCTTAAGATAGTTCTCACATCCTTAGCACATATTTATCCAGAATTTTCTATTTCTGGTTCTGAAGTTCTTTCTTCTGAACTTCTTAAAAAGTGTAAATGATGGTTTGATTATTGCTAAAATTCAAAAGAAATCTAGATACTGTCATTGTTCCTCTTTTTTGATCCTAAATTTACGACTAAAAAATCATTATATATATATGTAATCTTATAGGTAATTAACAGTAATACGGAGTTGTTAACGCCCAATGTTGATAACGGTAACAACAAATCACTCTCCTTGGATGATCATTCTGAGACGGGAAAAAAGTCAGAGGAAGCACCGGACAGTTTTGATATTCATGAATCGCCTATCGATTTTGGTACTGAGAAAAATGATGTATCGAATGTTCTCAATATCCGTAAGTCAGAATCAAGTTCCGCCTCACAGAGGATTTCAACTAGCGGGATTTATTCGAATAGTTCTGATGCCTGTATATCTCCAACATCAGATACTTTTGATACCTGTAAGGCTCAAGATGACTCAAGCTCTTTTGACAACTGCAGACCAATAAGCCTTAGTGACTGTGATGATTTCGATACCAGCGGACCATATTCTTCTTTTAATATGTATAAACCTACGTCTATCGGTGACGATGAAACTGATAATTATAAACCAAGATCAGTACAACAGCTTTCTCTTAATGCAACCAGTGGGTCATCATCCTCTATTGGTTTCGAACAGCTGAAACCATGTAAGGCAAGTAATTTTGGCATTTTAACAGAGTTTGGTCAAATTACTTTCACTTAGAATTTGAAAACAGGGAATTGAATTCTGATATTTCGAACCCCAGCTGTTATTATTTCAAAAAAAAACTTGCAAAATGATTCGAAAAAAGAAAATATTTTGACTTGATAGTTGCGGTATTTCCTCTTTTCTAGGGTCCTTGTTTATACATTCGTGGATACGATTTGGTAGCAGATTTTTTACAGAATGTCTTCAATAAATTTGGTGTTATCAATAGAGTTTTTGTGGAGGAACGTCAAAAGTACGTCTATAATTTATTATCTTTAAGATAATCGATGTTTATTATTCCAAATATTTCTGCAGAAATAATGTGAGATAATCTTTCCTTTACTTTTCAAAATTTATAATTCTTCAGGAGTGCATTCATTACGTATGCCACAACAGAAGAAGCGGAAGCTGCAATAAAGGAAGTAAATATATGTAATAGTTATTACATGGGATGCAATGATTGAGATACTTGGACAGAATGGTTGCAAAACATTTTCATATCTGAAACATCAAATTTTTGTTTTATATTATAATCAGTTATTGTTTTGTTGGTTAAATTGCTTTAATGAGTATTTGTTTTTGGCTTTGATGAATAGATTTTTGAGTTTGTTTTTGAGGAATTTCAAAATTTTGATTTTTTGAAACTTATTTTCAGATGGATGGAAATATGGTTAATGGGATCACACTACGTGTTTCATTTGCACGCCGTCAAAATCAGTGTGGTATTTCTGAAAACTGTGAAGATAATAAATCATTTGACAGGAGTAACAGTAGTGATGGAAGAGATTATTCTAATCGTTCTCAAGAGGACGAAGGTGGCCGCTTTCGGAGTAATAAACGTATTCGTTTCCGTAGTGAAAAAAGTAGACGAAGCCATGGTCGAGGACGTACATGTGGAGATTCTTTATTGTCAGCGGCTTCTGCTGAAACTGATGATAATTTCCGGTCTGGCTCGAACAAAGTATCAAGTGATGAGTCGACAGTGCAAGCTTCTCGTGATAATGATTTCTGGTTAGCGGAAAGACAATCAGCAAAAAGAATGGATGGACCAAGCGTTGGAAAGGATGATGATGATTTTGATACTTATAAATCAACAGTATCTCCAGTTGAAGGGGATGATTTGAACGTTATTAATAAGAAAGACGATGATTTTGACACTTATAAACCATTTAGTAATGATGGAAGGAGTGATAGTTCCAGTAATCATCGGAAGAGTTTTGGAAAAAGGCGCGACAATTTCGAGCATCTGAGGGGTGGAAAACGAGGTGGTTTCTGTAGTGATAGGAATCGCAATTTTCGAGGTAATGGACGAGACAATAGAAATCGCGGGGGTTCATCATGGCGATCGAGAAAGCGAAGCAATGAGCTGAGACATGTTGATTATTGCTCGACTGGTAACTTGGGTATTGACAAAAAAGGCTCATTGCTAACAGGAGATGAGAATAGAGATAAGGATAGCTTTCAGACATCCGATGATCATGCTAGTGAACATAGCAAAAGTGATAGTACCAATCGAGAAAGTGAATCACGGGGGAATGATAATGATAGCAAGGATGATTTCTGGCCTGCATCTAATCGGTCTAACAATGAAGGTGATGAATCATGTCCTTTCTCGGTTGAAAGATCGAGTAGCGGTCAATCATTTCGAGGAAGCACACGAAGGAATTATAGAAAGGGAAGAAGAAGTGGAAATCGAGGCGAAGGATTTCGACGGCGGCGTCGTAATATCGGTAATAAGAGCACATGGTCCGATGAAGAAGGCAAGTCATCTTGTTATGACGAATGGCCTGATGTCGATAACAAGCTCTCGTCGCTTACATCCGCTGGTGATAAAATGCCCAATTCTCCTCCCCCTCCTCCATGTATGTCTGAAGTTCAAGTAGCATGGAGTGAAGCCAGTAAGTTTTTTACTTTTATTATAAATTTTTATAATATTAAAATCATTGAAAATAGCATTATTAAGTTATTTGAAAGTTCGGATTTTTTGTTTATATAAACTCATGAATTTTGTCAGTCATGGTTTACACTGTTTTTAGCGTATGTTAGCTGATTTCTGTATCAATTATTGTGGAAAAAAATCATCTCAAAGTGTAGATTACAAAGTATATTGAATTATGAAATACTTAATACTTAAATCAAATCATCTATTGTCAAAGGATTGATGAATCTCTTTTTATACTTCTTTTTGTGGCACTTTGTTTGACCATTAGTTCCTCTTTGTTTGCGTCTATGGTGTCATCGCACAATTCACACTTTTATTTGTGCTCAGTCAAATGGTCCATTTTATTTTTTTCTTGTAAAATTGCGATATCATTACAAGTAATCAGTTCATTTATCAGGGACTGTTGGTTAGACGATTGCTTAATTCTGAAACAAAGTTAGACAAAAAAAATTTCCTTGTCCATTCTATCATGCGGATACATTCCACTCAGCAGGATATTTTGCCTCGTAAAATTAAAAAAGCCAATGCCCTCTATGCAAGGTCAAAGGCCTTTTGTACTACTTTGTCCTGACCATTAGCCCCTCTTTGTTTGCATCTTTATTTGCGCTAACGACGATCAGTCAAATGGTCCATTTGAATAAAAAGAAGAAAAAACATGCTGACCCTTTGCAAGTTCTTATTGGATTTCACAACTCATGTTTTCATTAAACTAAATTTTCTGCTTCCTATCTTTGTTTATGCATTACGGGACATTTCATCAAATAGTCCTCAAGATTTTAAATGAATGAAAAACTTTCCGCAAGCAGGAGAATATAGTTAACTAATTAGACAGCTCTTCAGATTAATAGTCTAATGTTTGAAAAAATGGTGATGTGTGAAACTCATATGTTTTTTGATATAACTCATCGCATGTTTCTGCGATTTACAATTCTTGAGTCTTTTTCATGAAGATAGATTGATAGAGGCATTTCATTGGTTGATTCACCGGATTGTAATGATAAATCAGTTATTACATTATGGAGAATATTGAGAATGGTAAATTTTGTTTCCATTATGAAAGTTTTTGTGTGAATTTCATAGATAAAAATTATTTTTCCAGCTAAGAAGACATCGAAGGAAATGGCAGTAGCAACAAAAAAAGAAGAAATAACTATAATGCAACGTAAACTAGAAATAAGGAAACAGGTGTCATATGATGAAGACGATCCGTTTGCTTGATGCAGTTTTTTAACAAGTTCAAGAGATAAGACGATTTTAAATGTATGTTCAGTTCAAGCTGATATTTTGATTTCAGTTCTAAAGAACATTGAAATTTTATTGAGTAATGGATTTTGTTTCCATTCTTTTCTCTCAAATTTTTTCAATTCTTGTTAAGGATTTGCAATTGTATCATGTAAATTTATCTTTTTTAGTATTTTCTTTTAATCGCTGCAGCAGTTATTTCAGACTTCTACCAGTTCATTTATTTCGGTTATAAATTGTAATTTCTTGTTTAGTAGTATTAGATTTCCAAGATTACTACTTTCATAAGGTATATAAATCTTAAAGTTTAAAATCTTTAATTTTATTTGTTATAGATAATCTTTGAAGTGAAGTGTGCTAGTTTAGTTATGTGTGGTGATAGCCTGGATTGATACGAAAGAGAAGTCATTAGGAAATAAAATTGAATGGAACAAAAATAAGTTTATTCATTAGCTTTTTTCCAAGCTATATTGAACTTATTCTTAGTTTGAATCGCTTCGCAAAATTTTAGTTTGCTTATTTTTTACTTCTTTGTTAATTTATCTTACTGATGTGGAGATGATTGTTGACCTTATCCTTTAACTTAACGCCTCTAAAATGTTTTTACGATGTTGAACATTCTGAAAACATTTAGAACTTATTTCCTTTCGCTTTTGTATCATTTTTCAATAACGATATAGAGATGAAGATCTGACAATAATTATTTCATAACAACTGGATTTATTTTGCTATTCTTTATATACCGCTCTTGTAAATAGCGCTGGCAAATAACACCCAAATCTGGTGAATCTACTTTGGTTGTATTTTTCGCATAAATACTTTCTGATCGATGGTGAATATCTGGTATTATACATACTGATAAAAATGATTATGAATGATGAATTATTTTATAAAATGGTTTTGAATATTTGAAATCTATCAATGATTGGTCAAGAACGAAATGAAATCAATGAGAAATAGCTGCTTTTTGTACAACAAATTGAAATAACTGGTGCGGGAATTATTGAGAAAACGTTCCCACTCAATACCTTTATCCATTTTCCTACATAATACTTGATAATGGAATGTCCTAAAGCTCCATGAATTCACTGAAATCAACAATTGTCTCCATTCTCAGTGCTTTTTTTGACGAATCATGCGGAACGAAAGAGGATTCAGGCTTGTTTAAGCTATATGTACCAGAGTATTGCAATACATTATCATAATTCATTTTTCAATAGGGACGGAAATTGGGTCATCTCTTTCTTCTTTTTTCATTTCCTCTTCATTCATCTCATCCAAAAAATTGTATAAGTTACAGGATGTACTAGAATTGAATGAATATGTCAGATTAATTCAAAAGATTATGGCAATTGATACTTTACTAGCTTTGTGCCAAGTTGATCAACAGAAAA